ATAAGGCCACATCAGTGAATAAAAATTTCACCTAAATAGAATACGCATTTTTATTTATAACACTGACACCATCAAGGTAATTAATCAGTTCGAATCTATCTGCCATTACATACCTACAGATTTATCTCTTGATGAAGTCCATCAATTCCGCTAACCACTGAGCAATTTTGTGTGTTGGTGATCTACACATCGACACTATAGGACGTAGAGGATTACTGAGTTAATGTATTTTTGACAAACCATTTAGGCCAAGAAGTTTAACTAGATTAACTATCAACGTGTCTAGCAATACCTGAATATCTTCTGAATTTACTGTCATTATCAAGAATAGATAACAGTTTATACTCCAGAACATTTGTCACGTCTCGTAATCATTATATTAGGGTTTCCCTATTCTGTTGAGTCAACATTAAAGAACGCTTGTGGTTACGTCAGATTTGTATCCTATTTCTTTAGAATAATGGTAGATGCAATGGATTGAAGGGTAAATTTCGAATGGTAAACTCATCATTGTACATCTATGAGTTCAACTGATCCTGCGCAGCTAGTTACATGGTCCGTATTCACACAGCTTTATCAATGAGAGCACACGGACATATACTTTTGTGGCTGAGAACAGGGAAAACAATATGCGTGAGTCATGCGGTCCTAGCCCACCTGGTAAATGCTGGACATTCAAAAACACCAGAGCTGTAGTTCGCAGTTATCTACTGTGTTTCCAGTAATCTATCTAGGTGAGTCCGATTACATCTTTATTGAGTAACTGAAGCGGTAGGAGTTAGTACTGAAATTCTTGGTCTCTGAATTCAGAAGAACTTTGTGAAATCACTTTGGCCTACAGTACAATCAAGGTATCCTCCATAACACTTCAAATTGCTGTCCCATTACTCTTCATTCTCTCACCTGATAATCGTTCACCAACAGAGATTTTGTGTTTACACAAGAAAAGATCGTTATTATTTTGTTGTTATTATTATTCTTTGTATTTACCACCTATGAACTACCCTCTTACATACCCCATTTGTTGATTCGCTTGTTTGTAGCATTCTTAGGATCTCACACAACACTAAACACACCCACTCTTGAAACCTTTACATTTGAGTATGAATACACAAACATATCGCTCAACTATTTGCTTTATTCTGTCTCATCTGTTTATTGACGTTAAGCATTTCATCATATGGATTTAAATGATAATCCAGACTAACTCGCTGAATATTATCATCCCATCTTGGATATTTGTATCACAACATACTTTCTGCTTTAATTTTACATTTGCCTTTACTGGAGCTATTCGCTGATGCAGTCAGTGGATTCGAATTCGTGAGCAATCTGAAGAATTTCCTGTTCTCTCTACTTCTTCACCTTGCTTTCATTGTTGAGTAAATCAAGTAAATTTTACTCCAGTTGTAGGTATAACTATTCTGGAAGCCTCCTAGTATTATTTCGCCCCAACAAAAATAGGCAAACTTCATCCCTGCAGCGCATTCGTATTCGTATCTTCGTGTCTATGCAAGAAACCTCTTGAGGGCGTTCATATCTTTGATACCAAATCACTATATGATCAAAGTTTGTTTTCACCAGTAGCAACCGAAGCACCTAAGCTGTTACTTCTGATAAATAAACGAAATCCGAAGACAATAAGTATTCGCAAATAAAAAGGTTACTGTTATTGAGAGAGAATTTCAATAACCTATCGTGCTGAATGTATCTGTGCATAAAGCCTTTGCATTTGTCAAGTGTTCTGGACTTTGTAGAACAGCACACGTCTAAAAATTCAAAATATCAAGGTAGATTTTAAAGCCTAGCAGGGATTACCTATCGACAGCTGCCTTCGCTCAGTACTGAAGATCAAATTGTTCATCAGAAAGAATGAGTAACAAGAAACTCTGGCGATAAACAAATCAACTAACAGCTAATTGCTAAGACAAATATGTGGGAGAAAATGGATTTGGATGCGTCGGGATACGGCGGGGATGCCGTTGAATGACATCGCGCCCACTGCAGAACATTGTTCGAGTGGAACCCCAATGACAAGCAACGAGTGGATATTAAGAGGATGAGATGGTGGAGATGGTGTTAGTTGGAGGAGGAGAAAAAAGATTATATGCACTCTTGGATACAAATGAAGATTACAGCAGAAAATAGAAAAAACTGGAGGTTTTCATATAACCGGTTCCCTTTATTAGTTTAAAGAGAGAAATAACGAACACGTTTGCAGGATAATACGAGCTCGTCTTAATTCGTGGATACTCATCAACTGCATACATCGTAAACAAAATCAAATTATGAGTTACAAAAAAGTTTTGGAACATACTGTTCATAATTACTTGGAGTTATAGATATAAGGAATAAGGAACATAATTCCAGAATTTGATGTAGGTAGTCAAAAAATCTGGCAAGAAAAAGAATGGCCTAAAGAATGGACTCAGTCACTAATCATTCCAATATTTAAGAAAGGGGACGCAAAGCAGTGCGAGAACTACAGAACAATAAGTTTAATCAGCCACCCAAGTAAAGTCATGCTGAAAGTAATATTGAACAGACTCAAAAAGAAAGTAGAGGAAATACTCTCAGAAGAACAGGCCGGATTCAGGCCGGGCAGAAGCACTGCTGAAAAAATGTTTAACATAAGGGTACTAAACGAAAAATGTCTACAACACCAAAAAATGCTAGTACACAACTTTATCGATTTTAAGAAGGCCTTTGACCGTGTGTGGCACGAAGGCTTATGGCAAGTCATGAATAACTACAATATAGATAAAAACATAATTGAGGTTATTAAGTCTTTATATAACAAATCTAGTAGTGCAGTATCTCTAAATAATCAAACTGGCGAGTTCTTCAGAACAACTATAGGAGTACGCCAAGGGTGCATTCTCTCACCAGTCCTCTTTAATTTATTCATCGAACATATTATGACACAAACCCTACATGACTTTACACCAACACTTAGCATAAACGGAAGACCAATTTCCAACCTCAGATTTGCTGATGATATAGCCCTCATTGGGGAAAACATTGATCAAGTTCAGGACCTCACCTCAAGACTTGATGTCGCAACCAAATCTGTGGGCATGGAAATCAGCACAGAAAAAAGCAAAATACTCATTAACGGAGGAAACAACTCAGATAGATGTATCAGACTTGATGGACATGTATTAGAAGAGGTTGAAACTTTCAAATACCTTGGGTCTACCCTAACAAAAGATGGAAGGTCCACTAAGGAAATAAAAATTCGACTAAACCTAGCCTCTGCCACCATGTCCAAGTTAGGGAAAATATGGAAGAGCAACATCTGCGTCTCAGCAAAAATGAAACTCTACTCGTCACTGGTCCTCTCTGTATTCCTATATGGATGTGAGAGCTGGACCCTGAATGCAGAGACAGAAAGAAGAATACAAGCCTTCGAAAACAAAAGCTATAGAAGTATCCTAGGAATAAGTTACCTTGAAAGGAAAACTAATGAATATGTCTTACACCAGGTCCATAGACTGGCAGGAAAACAGGAACCACTGCTTTCAATCGTAAAGAAACGGAAACTACAATGGTTCGGCCACACGGTAAGACATGACACATTGTCCAAAACGATTCTACAAGGCACAGTAGGAGGAGCACGAAAGAGAGGCCGACCGAATAAGAGCTGGCTTGACAACATAAAAGAGTGGACTGAAATGCCCTTGGATACGCTACAGAAAATAGCATTAAACCGAGAAGAATGGCGAAGACTGATAGCGCGAACTGTCATAGCACCCCCACGACGAAAGTCAAGGGACTGATGATGATGATGAGACAGATTATTCAGTGTTAAAAAACAACTGATGATATATAGTGGAATTAGATAAGAGGGGTTAGAGTTCAGATTTCTATTGGAAAACACAGATTGGTTAGTGGCATATTACAGGGTCAGAGAACAGAGTGAACTTATACATCTTGTGGTGGAGAGTTTAATAATATGTAATATGCCACTAACCAATCTGTGTTTTCCAATAGAAATCTGAACTCTTACCCCTCTTATCTAATTCCACTATATATAATTAGTTGTTTTTGACAACGAATAATCTGTCTACCTACATCAAATTCTGGAATTATGTTCCTTATGCTTTATATCTATAACTCCAAGTAATTATGAACAGTATGTTCCAAAACTTTTTTGTAACTCATAATTTGATTTTGTTTACGATGTATGCAGTTGATGAGTATCCACGAAATAAGACGAGCTCGTATTATCCTGCAAACGTGTTCGTTGTTTCTCTCTTAAAACTGGAGATGTTTTGCTGAAGCTGTATGTTTCACTCGGAATCTAAGGGAGAAAAAATAAAAATAAAGGTAATGCCAGGTTCATTTGTCACAGAATTTGTTTTTTCAACACCTCAAGCCATAATTTGATGTGGGAGAGTTGAATAATACGCCTTCAAGGAGAATTCGATGCTTGTCACTAAATACGTGTAGCCAATGTGACGAACCTCTACCTATTATCTTAAACATTCCATTTTATTTTTTCCCATCACATTCATGATCTCATTTTGAACCGAGAACAAATCAACTGAGATTAAAACACAATCTGTCATAATAAAGTGTATCTGATTCCTCTCGCTTTCTCTCCCTCTCTCTATTCCTGCATAGAATGAATACAACGAAATTGTCTTCATGAATTCCACAACAGTTCATCTTCTAGTTCAATAATACTAACTATAGTTCCTTTCTATTTCTATGAATAATTCTTGTAGAATGATGTCACCAGCCAGTGATTCAATTATGGTGCACAACAAAAGGTCTATGCAGCTCATTCGCGTATTTAAACATGTACTCAAATATGTTGATTCATTCTTGATTGGATATTCAAAATGATGAAACTGGCGTAGATGACAGGTACTCTAAAATGTGATTAGTGTGTTGTAAAAAACAGACGCTACGACGTGTAGCCATTTATATATATACATATATTGTCGTTCGTAAAATAATAGGGGTGATAGAAAGTAAATACACTCTCCAGATAAATGCTTTATATGCATTCTGAATTTGTCTCAGGAATAATGTATTCAAGTAAGTTTATACTTAGACAGAAGCGTCCTGATTAATTCCTTCAAATTACCCTTCACAATTAATCAAATTGTTTTCTCTCCTGATTACATGTGAAAGTGAATCTTTTGGAGATATTAAAGGTTTGCATGCAGACATATTGATAACTCCTCATTTCTAGAATACCACCATCGGAGTAAAGTCCGCAAGAAAATGTATTGTGAAGGTAGGGATGCTTATTTGTTTCAACAATCCAATTAAGTACATCATCTGGTTATGCATAATGATTGCAACAACCATGACCATGACCTTGCTGGTAGCGAACATGTAAGAATGTGAAATCACAACTTGTACTCACATCTTTGTTTTAGAATGGAACTCCGTGAGCTGTTTCATTCCTATATGTATACATCAATCGCTCTTCTGTAAGTTCCTATGAATCTGATTAAAATATATATGTTTATTCAAAGTTAGACATTATTCATGTAATTTTGTTGTGATTCTCCTTTTGTGTGAATGTTCATAAATACTATCTCAAGTCATTGAGATGATGAACTGACGAAAGTGCATATTGGTTTATTTAATGATAAAGTCGTCAATAGATGCTGTGAATTACATCTCCAACCTACGTTCAAATTTGTTTTTTTACAGAGTTAGCTGATTCTTTTCCAGGTTCACTGGAGCATTCATCGCAGTTCTGCTGATTTTGATTCCGAAACTCGAGGTCATCTTTCCACTGAACTATATGCTTGCTGTGCTCAGTGTAAGTGTATCACTTTTGGCGAAAATTGTGTGCATATGGATCTGCTTTTTCTTCTACAACTCCTTGGCCGCCGTTCATGAATCAAATACGTAGAAAAGTAATAATTTGTAATGAAATAGTGAATTTCTATCAGTGGTTTGGCGGGTGATCTACTGACTACGGTGATCACTGTTGCAGTATTTATTTGATATGTTGAATATTGTTCGCAATACTAGATATCGTATATCAGTTTTTGATGCGTTGATCAATTATTCGATACAGTGTTGCAGAATGTGCATAATTGAATGCTTTTCAAGATATTGTGGCATATAGCATGTATGATACTTGATAAGGAACGTAAACAAAATTAGTGGCGGTGTAAACTGGTGAGTGAGTGTTAAGTATACGGACGACCTAACTGTTTCAGTGCTGTTAACCCCCAGCTAGGCTGTACTAGGATGAACAGCTTCCAATTATCAGAATAGATATTACTCTCATTTTGTACTTTACTAAGTCTTGAATTTATTCCTACAGCAAATGTGTACAAATTCCTGCGGTTACTTCTATTTATATTTAGATTAAGTTAGATGCAATATTGTAACAAATGCTGACAATTCCATGCTTCAATATTAGTACTGTTTTTGGAATAAAGCAGATTATTATTATTGTAATTAGTTCCATCTGAAGTTTACAGATGATTTTGAACTCCAACAATATCGAAAAAATCTAATGTACAATGAGAAATGAGAACATGCTGCAATACTTAACAACCTCCAGAATGCTATGTTTCTCTCTTTTTCCGGAAGAAAGAAGTGTATCATATAGGTTCGTAGGCTCTACTATTCAGAATTTGTTAAGTCTGTTGTTTCTCCAACTGGTGTTCCCTAATTCGTTTGATCTGCGCAATCTGACGGTTACGGCCTTACCTACAAATTCCGCTTCACTGAACGTGACTACATATGAAATTACAAGCAAGTTCTTCGAGATATGTTATCTGTGATTGCATCTTAATACTGATCACCTGAATTCAATATATTGTTTGCATATTTCAGGTATTAACTTCATCTTGTGGTCTCGCTGTTGCAACATCGAATGTTGGACTCAAGAGTCTGATGTCATGGTTCTTGACTATACTGCTGACTGTAATATGCCTGATAGTGGGATATAAAATGCGGCGTTTTAATCAGAAAGGATTCTATATTATGAACTATATCATATCTGGATTTCTTCTTCTCAGTGCGCTTTTGTTTTTCGTGTTATACTATCTTCAATTTCGAGTAAGAATCGTATTGATGATTGAGTGATTTCATCTTCCAAATAATGTCAATGCTTTGAAATACGTTTCATGTCTTACAGATATAATTGTGAAATAGTCCTTTTAATTTTCACTTCTAAAGCCACTTCTGAGTAATTATATCAATTATGTCACCCCCTATTACTCAATAGTAGACCACTATATATGTTTGTAAGTATAAATAGTCCTTGATTAAACCTGTGCAACCATGTTGGTAACGAGTTACACCCTCGAGAATCCATTGCTGTAGCCTAGATTTTCACTAGGCGACAGGTGACAACAATCATCATGTAGACTACTCCCTCCAGAAATAGTTTTCAAACTAACGATCTTAGGTTACTGAGAGGAATCATTAGGAATATTTGTTGATGCCTGATTCCACATTCAGTGCAACGACAGCCAACGCAAACCAGAATATTTTGGCGATTCCTGTTGACATGTTGAAATAGTGTGTACTATTGTTCCATCAGTCATTAGTCCACGATGCTATTCCCATTATTTCTTCTACTTACAGGACGCTGCAAATACAGTTTTCGGAGTACTTTTGGGTCTTGGCCTACTTTTGGTAAGCTAGATTGTAAAATTTGTTAACATTTAAAACATTTTCAATAGCTGGCTTGTGAAGATTAGATTTGTTCTTACTAGTTGATCACGGATTGATGTCAGTTAGAGAACTATTGAAAACCAGGGAGTTCTGGACAGCAGTCCGCAGCAAAACTAGGATTAAACAGCTCTCAAGTACTCCCTGGTTTTCAGTGCTTCTGTAACGGATATCAATCCATGGTCAACTCGTATAAATTTACAAAATTATTTCATTCAAAATTAACTTATTTCATCTGAAGAATCTGCTATTTGTTTATTCAAGATGAAAATATGAAGACATTTATTCCCAGCGTCATTAATTTATTATCAAAATGCATGACGTTGTATGGATACTTATGAATTAGTGGTGATATTCACATAGAAAGCAATTATTCATTCACATACAAGTTCCACCTACACTGACTAGAAATAGGGTAATCATTTTCACGGTGTAATCTTTATGTTAGGTGGAAAGTTGCTTATTTTAGTAAACGACTAAACAATCTGGAGTACAGGACATTTGCTAGAAGACGCTGACTACTTAATTGTAACAGAGTTGCTACAAAACACCAAAGTGTTGGTCATATTGATGTTTTTAGGATATTATTTTTCCTCTGCACATGGTTTATTTATCATGTACCTTGCTGAAATTTATTCGAATCTCATCAATTCAGCACTGTACAGGATCAAATAAACATGTGTTACTACAAATTTAAAGATGCAATTTTAGAATGTGATGATGTCTTGAAGTGAACATCGGAAGGTCATGATTTCGAGCTGCTGTGGGTGATAAGTGCCTGTCTGTCTTACATCGGAACGAGACAGCTGTGCAGTACTCCCTGGTTTACAATGGAAACCAAACTGATATCAATTTGTGGTCGAGGTTCAGGCACATGTGATTCCTGAAATCTAACTCTTGAGAATTAATCTGGTGCACACTGGTGACTAGCTACAGGACGACGTTGCCTGGAGTTCTGGCGATGAGTCATGACCAGTAGGGTCCACATGGGGGAGCGTCGAGAAAAATACTTTTCGATGACATTGTCTGTTTGTCGCGCTACAATCATGAATTAGTAGCATCTATGGGCATTTGAATTGAGTCACAGTGGCTGCATGGTCTGTGAGCTCACCCTGTTACCGGAACATCCTGACTTCGAACCTCAGTGATTGCGTACTACCCAATAGTCTCAAATTATGACAATACAGCTGTCCAGTACACACTACAGGTGTTCAGTTCTTCTCTAACTGATATGCTGACAAAAACCATCACTTTTTACAAGTAGTTTTGTTCTCAGAGATAGATGGTTTATTTTTGAAGCCATTATTTCTTAACCACGCAACATCTTCAGCGTACACTTCATTTTCATGTGAGCTTTTAGATTTCTCCATCGATCTTAAAGATCACAACTTCATTGAAACCAATCACCTGAGCTACAAATCTTATCCATCATACACAAAACTTCATTGTGTGATTCTATTTCATTTTATCTTCTTATCATAGGCTCTATGTCTTTCTGGACAAAGTTTAAAACTTTGTGAGGATAAGCTGTCCAATTATTTCCTACCAGTTAGACTGGCTCTAATTACCTGGTTATTGGTAGCTCTACTATATCTGACCATATCAATCATCACCAAGCTTAAACAATACACGTCAAACGAGATATTTTACCAATAATTATAATACAAATTGTGAACAATACTCTCTTTTGTACGTCATCTGACTATCTGATTGTTAATATTCCTCTTATTGTAATCGTGGTTGAAGCAATAAATGAGTAAACGTCTTTAATGTCGTCTTTATTTACTGCATTCAGTTTAAGTGAAATTGCTTAGCACACAAGTTCCACACGCTTATCAATCCGTTAATCACAATAACATTCCACAGCAAATGACCTACGACTAGTCAAGCTTTCATCGATGTCGATGAAATCGTCACAAATAAATTATTGAAAATATTCTGAGGATGTCTATCCATAATAGATGCTAGTTACTATAAAACCGACTCATATGTGAAAGACGCTACAGTAATATACACTTCAAGAAATGACAGTGTTCATTCGATGGAAATTGAATATTTCAGACATTTAAGATTACAGTTCTTGTAAGTGTCGATGGCGAAGTTCTGTCTTCGCTTTTTCATTGTCCTGACCATTGATTAGTCAGTGAGCATCTTTGTGTTGCACGTGATATGATGAGGTACACCAAAGCGAATGGATCTGCTCGAGGTAAACATTGAAAACTGGTGTGACTGTATCATTGGATCATGTATTCTCAGCTTTGATTGGCGTTCAATTACTGTGAAAGTCTTTCTGTTCCTTGAAGTTCCTAGTGAAACATAGAGCTTCAAGCTTCAGCTTTGAACTTTCAAAACCAGTGGTGCTCATTTTTCTTACGAATCCAAGTCTAGACAATATGAGTGGTTGGTGGGTATTCGACAGCTGAACAGAGGACGCACATCATAGAAATTACTCTGCACAACTCCTCATATTTCTGAGTGAACATTATTTTATTGAAAATGAAGTCACTCTTGTGATTTTCAGCTGTTTGTAGGAATGGTTGCTTGTAAGAAACTTAAGGAACACATTAATTCATTTGATGTTGACAGCCAGTAGTTTTTTCCTTCTTGTTGTACTACCATGTGTAGGTCACTGGAATTTGAAACTTGTGTATACCAGGTCCTATTCTGTGGTCTAATTTCTAACCACTTTGGACCGTTATTGCTATGAATTTATGCAAACATATTTATAGATAATGATTCCTCATCTGCATTCAATGAGTTCGATACGAAACAGTACATAAAGCTTTGACGTTTCTACAACTTTGGCGTTCTTTTGATAAGGAGAGGCTGCTAGTGTCACGCTTCATCTCCCTTCTTCTATGGACTTCCTATAGACTAGCAAGCTAGGTGAAATAATATAAGAGTGTGAGCCAGTAAATGAATCGATGTATGGAGAGCATTCAATTGTCCAAATGAATGTCACACTGCTGTTAAAGTAGACATTTTACATTTACTACTGTGTATGTCGCACAGAGTTTCACACAATCGTATATATACTGCTGTGCACTTGTTTCAGTTTTTGAATAAAGCAAGCACAACAGTTTTAGCAGAATAGAATAGTACCATCAATTATTTCGTCAGCATTTCATCAACTGCTGCTTACAATATAAAAAAATTATTAAGTTGATGTACAAAAAAGTGTTAACGTACGTTCAAATTTTGCATGATTTCAGTTGACAAGAGGCTTCAGACTTAGTGAACAGTGCTCAGAAAGCAACGCTTGTATAGTTTTCAAACAGCAGTTCATGTTGAAAATAGAGTAAACCTATGCAAACAATGGTGAAGGATTTACTTTATAAAGATGATAGGTTCGTAAGATGATGAGTGACTGATGAACTCGCTAACAGTGTGCTGAGTTCAATTAAAATCATAGAAACATCAGACAAGCTAAAAATGTTATTTCTCATCTCCTCAACTTCAAAAGCTTCGCAGACAGAAAGAAAAATTATATAAAATGAAGGATAATGGTGGTTTGAAAAGAAGTAACATTCTAATAAAGTCCAAAATGCACAGATTGAATTCAATTTTCAACCAAAAGTTCATATCCTGTAAAAATGCGTCAAACATATGGAAACTTTTCGTAGAAATTACTGGTGGTAAGCAGATGAACAGCATTCCTTTTTCCCTTGATGTTTCCAAACTAAACAAGTCCTTCATACATTCTCCCACAAATGCCAAACTTTCTAGAGTTACAAGTATTAATGAAACCTGCTTCCCTGGATTTACTACAAATGATGTTCTAAAATGTCTCCAGTCTATGAACCCTTCTTGTAGCCTGACTACAGATGGTTTGCCTAGTGTTATTCTTAAAAATTGTGCAGATATCATGTGTTATCCTCTCATGGACATAATTAACGAATATTTTTCCAAAAATGTCGTGCCAGCCGCTTGGAAGGACATTAAAATTGTACCTATTCCTAAGTCGTCTACTGCGACATGTTTTAAATTCAGACCCATTGCTATTACTTTCCCTTTTCTAAAAGCTATGGAAAAGTTGCTCTTACTTAATCTTCAACCTTCACTTAAAGCCTTCAATGATCCCAAACAATTCGCCTACAAACATAGTAGAAGTACTTCAGATGCAGCTGCAATCTTGCATCATAACAATGTCTCCAGTTTAGACAATTGGGCTAAATTTGTTCGCTGCACTTTCCTAGATTACACATCTGCTTTCGACTCAGTACCCAGAAACATTTTGTTCAACAAGCTTGATGAAACTCAAACTGACTGTTTGATAGCCAAATGGCTGCATTTTTATCTCAGAAAGAAAGCAATACACTGTATGTCAGGGAAAGTCGTCCACTTCATTGCTTACTGAGGCTGGTGTCCCTTAAGGCGCTGTCCTTTCTTCTTTTCTGTTTTCTTTCTTCTTGCATGACTTCCCTTATTCCGATGAAATGAACTTTGTTAAGTATGCTGATGATCTAACTATTTTAATGTCTGTTAACTCTCAGCTTGACTGTATTAAGATTAACAACTTTCTATTAGAAATTAGCAAATGGTCTTCGTCTAACGGCCTTTAATTTAATCTTTACAAAAGTCAGACTGTTAATTTCAGTTTCCGATGTAAACGAAAGTTAACTGAAGCCGTCGGTTCCTATGACCCTTGCAAAATCGATGATTTTTATATAGAAATCAAGTCTGAAGTTAAGTATCTTGGATTAGTTCTCTCTTCTGACCTATCCTGGTCTTCCCATGGTCTTAGCGATTTCTAAAAGAATATTTCTTCTGACATTTTACACTAAGAAGTTAAGGCACTCAGGCATTAACCAACCCTTCCTCTTACAGTTTGTCAACTCGTGTATTTCACCTATTCTCCTTTACTGTTCACCCTTATTCTTTCCTGGATTACTTGAAAAAGTTTATGTCATACTTCGTAGAACTCTGAAGACTGCCGGTCAGTAGGGTGAGTGATATCCCATTGG